TGTCTTCACAGGTGCTACAATAAATGAGTCTATGATTCTAAGCCTCTCTAATTCTGAGGGTTCTCTTTAAGAAGTTTAGTGTTATTAGAGGCCCAGTGTGGACTATAGTGAGGCTCAGTTTCCTGTCAGAATCCAAGTGCTGTGCTGAGAGGCAGCATACATATGTATAAAAATATATGAGTGTATTATATATCAGTTTTATTGAGATATATTCATATACCATATGATTCACCATTTAAAGTATACAATTTAGTGGTTTTTAGTGTATTCACAGAGTTGAACAATCACCACCAAAACTGATTTGATTTTTTTTTTAATTTTTAATTTTTTAGAAATGGGGTGTCACTCTGGGGCCCAAGCTGGAGTACAGTGGCACAATCACAGCTCACTGTAACCTTGAACTCCTGGGCTTGAGCAATCCTCCAGTCTAAGCCTCTTCAGTATCTGGGACTACAGATGCATGCCACCATACCCAGATAATTGTTTTGTTTTGTTTTTTTTTGGTAGAGACAGGGTCTCACTATATTGCCCAGGCTGGTCTCAAACTCCTAGCCTCAAGCAATCGTCCCACCTTAGCCTACCAAAGTGCTGGGATTACAGGTGTGAGCCACTACACCCAGCTGCAATCAATTTTAGAAACTTTTCATCATCCTAAAGAAACCCCCTACCCATTAGCAGTCACTGGAAGGGCAGGTTTTAAAATTGGGTTTCTACTCTTCTCTGTGTTGGAAAGAGAGTCATACGTGACTCATTCAAGGGCAACCTATAGGCCTTGCCTATAACAAAGAATTTTCCCTTGGTGCCCTCCTCTCTCCCTCTAGTGCTATGTACAGAAATGCCCTTATCACTAGAGTTCTGTGGTCTCAGGCCCCTAGTTTCTCCTGTGTTAAGGATAAAACTCGGGTAACCTTCAATGCCCAGTGTCAAACACTGGCCAGTCTGGAAAGCTGAAGAAACACAGAATTTGGATGACTTAAGTGATTATACTTCATACACGAGGGAGCAGGAGCAATTAGACCATGCCCAGGAGAGGCAGGAAACAGAAGCCATTCTCGGCGCCAAGGGAGGGAGGGGATGGGCACAGGTGGTCCTGGTACCAGATATAAAGTTCTGTTCTCCCCGTTTCCCTGAGAGAAAAACCAACATGGCTCCTCCAGGCCAGGGTCAACTCAGGTTCGCTCTAGTGAGAACTTCAGATCTTCCCTATAAATAAGTAGGCTCGGCCGGGTGCAGTGGCTCACGCCTATAATCCTAGCACTCTGGGAGGCCGAGGCGGGTGGATTGCTCAAGGTCAGGAGTTCAAGACCAGCCTGAGCAAGAGCGAGACCCCCCATCTCTACTAAAAATAGAAAGAAATTATCTCGACAACTAAAAATACATATAGAAAAAATTGGCCGGGCATGGTGGTACATGCCTGTAGTCCCAGCTACTCGGGAGGCTGAGGCAGGAGGATCACCTGAGCCCAGGAGTTTGAGGTTGCTGTGAGCTAGGCTGCCACCACAGCATTCTAGCCCGGGCAACAGAGCAAGGCTCTGTCTCAAAAAAAAAAAAAAAAAAGTAGGCTCTTTTAAATTTTAAATTAGATTTAAAATTTTAATTTACTAGCCAGGACATGGTGGAGAAAATCTGGGAAGACAACAATGATGTTTGAAATTCAGAGAGCAAGTCACACAGTCCAAAGCCTCGCACAGATATAAAAGCATTCCCCCATCAGAATGGGAAGACTCTAAGGGCATCTGATACCCAGGTGTGTCAGGTGTGCCCAGCATCTTTCAGACAGTCCAGGTCAGAACCAGAACTCACACACAGGCCGGGGCTTTCCCCACCACCTGGCTTCTTTCTCCTCTGTCCGGGGTTCTCACATCCTCTGCTTTGTTTTCTGCTATTTTCCCATGAGTCCAAGCCCAGGAACTCTCTGCTGTTGGTTCTGCTCAGCTAATAGTGACAACTAGTGCCTGGGTGCTCACAGTCTTGAAACAACTGGGCAGGAAGGGATCACTGAGATCAGCTAATTTATAGATGAGGAAACTAAGTGGCAGGCTCAGGGTAACACACTCTGTTGGTGGCAGAGCCTGGGCTGAAACTGGCTCTCCTGATGCCCAGCCCAGTGGTTCTTCCAGGCCATGGCACAGAAGGAAAATTCCCCCGAGGCAAGGTTAGAGCTATGCATACCTCCTCTGCAACGAAGTCCATGGTATCAAATGTGATTCGGCTTTGCTTCTTTCTCTGAAATAAAGGAGGCAGGGAGAGGAGGGCAACTCAGCAAGACTGCCAGAACTTTGCATCTGAAGCCCTTCTGTGTACCTGGACCACTGTGGGGGTGGGGCAGGAAGCCAAGGGAAACCTCTTAGCAGCAGCCCTTGCATGCCCGCCCACCTTTGCTCGAAATCCCCAATTCCACACTAGGCTTGGGTCCAGCATTGACAACAAATTATTGTGAAGGGGTGGGGAGAGGGAAAGGAGGATAAAGAGAAGACAGAAAAGAAGGATGGAGAGAGAAAAAGAAAAAAGAAAAGAAGCAAAGTATGGGGGTGGAAGGAGAGATAAAAAAGAAAAGAAAAAAACAAATGAAGCCAACCTTTGTTAAGTGCCTTTAATGAGCCAAGCACGGTGCATCTTCTGTAACTTAGTCCATTTAATCATCAGAACAAAGCAGGTTTTATTAAGCCGCATTTTGGACTTGAGGTGTCCAAGGATCACACAGCAAGTAAATGGTCCTGCTGGGAGCCAAACCCAAGGCTTTGGGCGAACCCAAGTCCATGTCTAGAGTGTGGCCAGGAGGAGAAGGTGTAAGTGACCTTAGGATGAACTAATCCAACTCTATCTCTGACGGATGAAGAAAGGGTATAGAGAGCAGAGAATATGTAGGAAGAGCCAAGGGGGAAGGAAAGGGACACAAGGCCCCGAGCACCACCCAAGGCCCCGAGCACCACCCCAGGCCAAGCCAGGGCCCCCAGTCTCCTCTCTAAGCAAACTTCCTGTTGTCCCTGAAGCCCACTCAGATCCCTCTCCTTCCTCTTTTTTACCATTTGTGTGTCCATGGGGTGCTTCTCGGGGAGGCCACTGAAGGAAAGAGGTGGTGCTTAGAATATCCAGATTCACACGCTGAGCTGAAAACCAGGCTATGGCTCTCTACACCTGAGCCCACGCCCTAACCCTAGCTCGCTACCCGGCAACCACGTGACCCCTATGGGCTGCCCTCTCGAGGCTCTGCTCAAGGCCATTCTGGCTGGCCAGTATGGGCAAGTTTCGTCTCACAGTCCCCTGACAACAAGCCTGACTCTGGGTCTTCAGCTTCCAAGTGCCCCATGCCTCAGCCCAGGTCTTTTGCTAACCAAAGCCCCTTGATCTCCAGAGCCCCTGGCTTCGCCATGGTCTGCCATCCTGAGAGAATGTCCTTCCTGAGAGCTAACCTGAGTCTCTCAGGTTGCAATTCTTCTAGATCATCCTTTTCATTTCAGCCCAAACACGGGGCTGCAGCCGTGTTCAGTGTGGCCAGGACAGTGTCTTAAAATACAGTCTATGGATTCGAATATCTTTAGACGAGGCATGTCCTTCCTCTCTGGCTGGCCCATAGGCCCCTACCCCCCTGCTCTATCTTAAACTCAGCCACATGCACTAGTTACATTACCTGTTGGCCCCTTAGAAACCAATCTAAGGCTGCCTTTCTTTCCCCCATCACCAGCCCCAGACCTGTCTTTGGCCACTATCCTTCAGAAACCACTTTGAGAAATTTCTTAGAGTAAATTGATCTAGTCACTCTGGATCTAGTCACTCTTGACGCAACAGAAAAATGGGCAGGGTTTGTCTAGGGTTTGTCTATTAGCTGGGAAAATTCTGAAGTCCTAGTTAACACACCGAGTAGTAATGAGGATACCTTTGGGAAACCAGAACAAGTTAACAGAATAGGGATCAACTTTTCTGAGCCAAAAAGGGGCTCATGATCTACCACTAGGATAAAGATATTTTAAACTGGGACCTTCTAGGAAATCTAGAAAGCATGGTCCCCATGGTGATAAGGGCCCTGAACATGTTCCCTTCATTTAAGTGGAAGGATAGGAAAGAAGGAGAGATGCTAATAGAGCATGGGGCCTTCGGAAAACCCTGACTCCACTGTGACTCCTGGATTCTTCTGGCTCTTTTGATCATGTTGGAATGGAGAATGCTTCTTCCCCATTCCCTGTGTTTCTTTCCACATGGAGGGAGGTGTGTTAGTAGAACACTACTGTCTCTCTCCTTCCACATTGAGAAGTGACTTAAACTCCTAGGTGGATTTAGAAGGAGAAACTGGGCATGGTTGTCCCTCTGAGCCCATGTTCTCCTCTGCTTTGCTTGGCCCTGAGTTTAGGGCAGCAGGCCCTGCGGTTGCACTGGAGCCTGCCTTGGTCCAGCACTGCCGAGATGAAGCCTGTAAGGCTGTCTAATTCTGGGGTTCAGTATTAGGTAACCCTCTTGCTTTATGATAAGTCACCCTCTCCAATACAAATCTGGTCATTAATAAAGGTGACAGTTGGGTCTCCCATCTGCTTTACTCTTTGCTTTCTCATTTGGTTCTGAGCTTGAGCTGGGAGGTAGGGTGCTATTTATTGAACCCCTCTAAGCCCTCATAATCATGCTGAGCCCAGGAGCTTACATCCCAGACAGAGAAGATAGGATGCTTTCTCTGAGCAGACGCAATGATCTGAAACTCCCGGAATCCGCTGAGGCCTTTGCGGAACATTTTACACACTCGGATCATCACTATGATGTCCATGGTGAGCTGGTACAGCCCCTGTGGAAACAAAGCAAACAAGATCAGTGGAAACCATCTGTTCTCAACAGTCAACAGCGGGCTGGATGGCGCTGAACAAGGCGAAATTTAACAGGATTAAATGCAGTGGTGTGTTGGAGTGATAGTTACATTTTCAGAAAGTTTGCAGGCCTGTTGAAATTATGCTGGTAGCTTGAAACTGGCCATGGTGGGAGAATTTATGCCACAGAAATTGGCAGCTACTACAAATCAGGGCATCCCCTCTTCCTAGGAACCAGTTGTTAAACACTCACCGGCATACCACTGCATTCAATGTCCAAGTCCTTCACTTTCACACAGAATATAAAGGGCACAAGTAACTGCAGGCAGTGTGGGGGTGGTGCAAAGAGGTTGAATTTTGGAATCAGAGGGATCCGAGGGAAAAATGGTCAGAAAGATGCAGCATTGCCGGCTTTGAAGGTGAAGGAGGGAGGAGCCACGAGTCAAGGAATGTGAGTGGGCATGTAGAAGCAGAAAAGGCAAAAAAATGGATTCTTCCCTAGAGCCTTGAAAAAAGGGAACGCAACCCTGCTGGAAACCCTGATTGTAGCCCAAGGATACCTGTGTCAGACTTCTAGTCTACAGTACTGTAAGATAACACATTTGTTTTGTTGTAAGCCACTAAATTGTGGTCATTTGTTATGGCAGCAATAGAAAACTAGTAAATAATATAACACCTAATCCAAGATGGGCCATCCTATCTTCTCCCTGGGAATTTGGAATTGGAACTGACAACAAATTATCCTCTTGACCCCAATATAAATTTAGGAGTAAGGGCAGCCACCCTCTATTAGCCAGGTGAATACAGGGGCCAGGGAGAATCCAGAATGTAGAACAATCTATGAGTTAACTAACTCGCTTTCTTCAGTCAATTTCACAAGGGGAAAAACAAAGTATGGGGGCTGTTCTAGATTAAGAAAGAGTCAAGAGACATACAAACAAATGCAAAGTATGAACCTTCATTGGATCCTGGTTCATGATAACAAGCTATAAAAGGGAAATTATATAAATATGACTGCATGTCAGATGATATTAGGGAATTAATGTTAATTTTCTTAGTATCATAGTGGTATTGTGGTTATGTGGGAGAATGCCCTTATTTTTAAGAAAGAAATGTCATAAAGTAGGCGATTTACTTTTTTTTTTCTTTTTGAGACAGAGTCTCGGTTTGTTGCCCAGGCTAGAGTGAGTGCTGTAGTGTCAGCATAGCTCATAGCAACCTCAAACTCCTGGGCTCAGGTGATCCTCCTGCCTCAGCCTCCTGAGTAGATAATTTTTTAATTTTAGTTGACTGGCTAATTTTTTCTATTTTTAGTAGGGGGGGGGTCTCACTCTTGCCGAGGCTGGTCTCGAACTCCTGAGCTCAAACAATCCGCCCGCCTCGGCCTCCCAGAGAGCTAGGATTACAGGCGTGAGCCATGGTGCCCAGCCTGGCAATTTACTTTCAAATGATTCAGCAAACACACACACACACACACAAATACATAACGGCAATATAGCAAAATGTTGAATGTTAGATCTAGGAGTGATTATTATATATACATACATATTTCAACTTCATGTTTGAAAATTTCCATAATAAAAAAATGTAAAAACTAAATAAGTTGTCTGTTTACTAACTTCTGTTAATAAGTACATCATAAACAAAGTGAAAAGACAAACTGTAGCCTGGAAGAATATATTTTCCATGCATATAAATGACAAAGGATTACTATCCAGAATTTGTTTTTAAAAATCCTACAAATCAAAAGAAAAATACACTGGGAGGCCGAGGCGGGTGGATTACTTGAGCTCAGGAGTTCGAAACCAGCCTGAGCAAGAGCGAGACCCCGTCTCTACTAAAAAAGAAAGAAATTAATCGTACAACTAAAAATATATAGAAAAAATTAGCCGGGCATGGTGGCGCATGCCTGTGTCCCAGCTACTCGGGAGGCTGAGGCAGGAGGATCGCTTGAGCCCAGGAGTTTGAGGTTGCTGTGAGCTAGGCTGATTCCACTACACTGTAGCCTGGGTGACAGAGTGAAACCTTGAAAAAAAAAAAAAAAGAAAAATACAAATAATACAATAGCAAAATGAGCGAAGGATATGAACATGTAATTCAAAGGGCAAACTCAAGTCACCTATAAATTATGAAAAGATTCTTAACATCACTAGAAATAATAGAAAGGTAAATCACAGTAATGATAAGATGCTATTTTACACTTAACATTGGGGAACTGGGAAAGATAGTAAAATCATGTTGTAGAGCAATTTGGCAACATTATTTATAAAGTTGAGGATCTGTTTACAATCAAGGAATTATACACACTTTATGTAACCTCTCTGGAGAAACACACATATGTACACAAGGAGACAGCCATGGGACTGATCATGGCAGCACTGTTTGTAACAGTGAATGGCTGAGAACAGTTAAGTGTCTATCAGGAGGGGAAGGGATCAATACATTATGGTACAGTCACAGGACTGAACATAGCACCCTAAATCTGTGTGTGTCAATGTGGATAAAGGTGAAACAATTTTGAGTGGAAAAAAGTGAAGTATGATACCATTTATGGTGTCATTTTTAAAAAGTGGGCCACATACTAGATGTTGTTTATGGACATATATACAAGCAATAATATTTAAAGATGTAAATAGGAAGGGTAACATCAACTTCAGGAAAGCAGTTACCAGTGAAGAAAAATAAAAGGGCATGCATGGGATGGTAACCTGTACCATCAGGTTTACCTGCACCTGTAATATTCTATTTCTTTAAAAACTAGATATCTACAGGAAATACAGAGAAAGGTACTTTAATAAAATCAATACATATTGAGTGCAATTTACCATTATCAGACACAATTGTAAGTGCTATTCTAATATGCTTTATCCCATTTAATCCTCAACAATAAATTCATGCAGTAGGTACTATTATCATCACCTTTTACAGAAGAGAAAACAAAGGCACAGCAAACCAAGTAACTTGCCTAAGGCCACATGACTACTAGGTGATTGGGATTTAAACTCAGGCAATCTGGCTACCGAGTCCATAAACTTCACCTATTATTTTACCTTGTAGCCCTGCTTTGTTGTCTCTGGATCTTGTAATAGCAGGAGGGGTGGGCACAGCACAAGACTCAGGGGCTCAGAGCGTGGCCTGTCACTTGCCCAGGGCCAAGCGGGTAGAAGGCTTCACACAGATACAGGGAAGAAGTCAGAATTCAGTCCTCCTGCAGCCTGGTCTGGGTCTCCTTCCTCTGTGCCATGCTGTGTCTCCAGAAGGCAAAGCATGGCCCCCATTCCTCCAAGGACCCTCCTCTACCTGCCTCTTCCTTCCTCAAAATGCCTGTCTGTCCCACGCCCTGCTCTTCCTTCCAAGGGCCCTTCCCTGTCCTCACCAGTTCTTTCTTCAGTAGCTGCCAGGTGTGAGATATCGTATATCTCTTCATGGCTCCTGATCTGGCAAATTGCACAACTAGCCCATTTGCCAGGCAAGGGGAGGACTGCATATCTCTCCCCAAGAATCCAGTTATACTAGAAACAAAGAGCTTTCCTCAGCAGCAAGGCAAGCAAGAGCTCCTCTCTGCACCTCAACGCTACCAACAGCTGCTGGGAGCCTTGTTCTGAGAAAATCATTCTCAGAATCTACTTATGTCACAGTGAAAGATTCTAGAGGGAGGAGGGGTCAGTAGAAAGAAATTGGAATCCGGCAGCCTAACATTTATTGAGCTCTCATAGGCATTAACTCAGTCAGTCCTCACAACCACCACCACAAGGTGAGGGACCCTATGCCCAACTCCACACGTGAGCAGACTGGGGCTCCAAGTAGCTAAAGGACTACCAGAGGCTTCTTAAAAAAATTTGGAGGCTTCTTGGATAGATATAGGGATATCCAACACTTTGGCCTAGGGACCACTCTGAGGCTTCCAACTTGGAGACCCCAGTGTGGGGGCATGGCACTGTCCATAAGTCTTGTTAACTCAAGACAGTTAGGAAAACCCAGCAAATCAGAAGACATCAACCAAAAGTGTCAAATATTGAAAGAAACTTGGAAACTGGAACTCTAATGATTCTGAGGGCCTTCCAAAAGTAGAGAGACTCTAGGGTCTAAAGCACTTTTTTCTACTAGATTAAAGATGACAACTGATGGTCTCAATTTGCTCTTACACCAGGATCCCCAATAGAAAACTGCGATTGCAAGTGCCACCTGATATGCCATTCCTATTCAGTTGCGTGTAACTGCCAACCCTTCCCCAACTGGTAAATAGAAAGGCCCTGAACGCAGTGAAGACAGCTGGACAGTGGACAGCTGGGAAAAAAGACAAAGGCCACCACTCCTGGGGTAAGACAGTAATCACACACAGAGGTGAGAAAGGACAGGACCGGTTTTCTCCCTCCTACCCAGAGAAAAGATGAAAGAACTCAGGGAGAGACAGAGGAAGAGAAAGTTTTAGAAAAAGAGAGCGAGACACAGTACAGAGTTTTTGACTATCCCACCACAGACCTAGTCTTGAGGAAGGAAATACAAGAGGATCCCCCACAAATGTTTAGGGCTGCCTCTGAGAGAAACTACTGGGCCTGGAGAAGGCAAGAGAGATGGTAGGAGGGACTATGGGCAGGACGGGTATCCCACTGGTCTCCTGAGTTGCCTGAGGATCCAAGAGTGACAAGGAAAGTATCAGACTAATGAGGGGCATTAGAGGATGCCAGTAAGTAGGAACTGATGGGACCCCAAAAGTGGACACTGTTGACCTCACCTCTTGCCAGCTGTGGTTGTACAATTTCTCTGGGAATTGGGTCAGCATTGGGGAGGAAGAGGCAGAAAGTTTGGGGAGCTTTGAACTGGCCCAAGAGGAGTCACTAAGCCTCAAATTACATCCACTCAAAATCACTGGGTTGGAACTCAATTTACCTGAAGAAATCTAAATTAAGTTGTCTGTAAGGAGGCAGACTAGGATTCAGAGTCAGACATTAAAGTCAGTTCTAGGCCAGGCATGGTGGCTCACGCCTGTAATCCTAGCACTTTGGGAGGCCAAGGCAAGAGGATCGCTTGAGGTCATGAGTTGAGACCAACAAGGCAAGACCCTGTCTCTACCAAAAAAAAAAAAAAAATTAGCTGGGTGTGGTGGCACATGCCTGTAGTTCCAGTTACTTGGGAGGCCAAGGCAAGAGGATCGCTTGAGGTCATGAGTTGAGACCAACAAGGCAAGACCCTGTCTCTACCAAAAAAAAAAAAAAAATTAGCTG